TGTCTATATATTTTATTGAACTTTTCAAAGGACTAGTTTTTGGTTTTGTTGTTTTTCTCCGTTTATTTTATATGTCATTGATTTCCACTCATATTTATAGTTGATTTCTTTCTACCTTAGTTCTATTGTCAAACTAAATAAAAGAGATTATCCAAATATGATAAATTAATTCAGGAGTAAGCATTGCAATGTGGAATATGGTACCGTATTAACCTATGGGCATATGAGGAGGTTGGGAGCAAACCCCCCAAAATCTGGCTGTAAACTGGCCCCAAAACTGGGCATAAACAAAATCTCTGCAGCACTGTGACATGTCCATAATGGCCCTAACGCCCAAGCTGGAAGGTTGTGGGTTTACGGGAATAAGGACAAGGAACACCTGGCCCACCCAGGGCAGAAAACCGCTTAAAGGCATTCTTAAGCCACAAACAATAGCATGAGCGATCTGTGTCTTAAGAGCATGTTCCTGCTGCAGTTAACTAGCCCAACCTATTCATTTAATTCGGCCCATCCCTTCGTTTCCCATCAGGGATACTTTTAGTTAATTTAGTATCTATAGAAACAATGCCAATGACTGGTTTGCTGTTAATAAATATGTGGGTAAATCTCTGTTTGGGGCTGTCAACTCTGAAGGCTGTGAGACCCCTGATTTCCCACTTCACACCTCTATATTTCTGTGTGTGTGTCTTTAATTCCTCTAGCATTGCTGGGTTAGGGTCTCCCCGACTGAGCTGGTCTCGGCATGAGGAGGTAAAGGAAAATAAGAGGTTTTTTTTGTTTTTTTTTTTAATTTTTTTTTAGACAGGGTCTCATGTGTTGCCCAGGCTGGGCAGTTGCACAATCATGGCTCACTGCAGCCTCAACTTCCCAGGCTCAATCAATCCTCCTGCCTCAGCCTCCCAAGTAGCTGGGACTACTGGCACATGCCACCACCCCTGGCTAATTTTCGTATTTTTTGTAGAGACAAGGTTTCACCGTTGTGCCCAGGCTGGTCTCAAACTCCTGGGCTCAAGGGATCGCCTGCCTTGGCCACTCAAAGAGTTGGGATTACAGGCATCAGCCACTATGCCTGACCTGAAAAAAAAAAAGGGGTGGGTTTTAAAGGAAAAGTTAGAATCGTTACATATAGTAAGTTGTTTTGGAACAATTATTGGTTGCTACAAGAATCAGTAACAAGGGTTAGTCAATAACAAGCATTAATCCAATCAATAACAAGCATCAGCCCAAGGTTGGACAGGCAGTTACTGGGCAGATGTTTTCAAAGAAGTATTTTGTGTAAGGTTGTGATGGCTTTTGTGCAAGGCTGTGGTTTAGATGCAGACAGGCAGGTGAGCCCCCAAACTGGGGCTTAATCTGGGAGGGATCTTGGTTTTGCCAAGGAAAGAATTTAAGGGTGAGCTGGTGGTGTTAAACAGCACTTTTTTTTTTCGAGGCAGGGTCTCACTCTGCCACCCAGGCTAGAGTGCAGTGGTGTAATTCCAATTCACTGCAGTCTCAACCACCTGGGCTCAAACAATCTTCCCACCTAAGCTACCCAAATAGCTGGGACCACAGGTGCCCACCACCATGCCCAGCTAATTTTTGTATTTTTTGTAGAGACAAGATCTCATTATGTTGCCCAGGCTGGTCTCAAGCTCCTGAGCTCAAGCAATCTTCCTGCCTCAGCCTCCCCAAGTGCTGTTATTGGAGGCATGAGCCACTATGAGTGGTCAAACAGCAATTTTTATTGAACTGGAGCTACTCCTTGTAGAGCAGAGACAACTCATAGGCAGTGTGCTCAGAGCAGTTCTCGTCCTGTTGGCAACTGTATTTATAGCCACTTCCACCCACTTTTAATTACATGCAAATTAAGAAGCAGGCTAATGCAAATTGAGGGGCAGGTTATTCCTAACTTTCTAGGAAAGGGGCAGTAATTTCCTGGTCATTGCCTAGCATCTGTAAACATGCCCCAGAGGAAGTATCTTATGCTAATGACCAGTGAGGGTAGCTAGGGATAGCTTTTGTTGCCATCTGCTGGTTCCTGCCAGTTTCTTCATTTTATCCAAGTGGGA